ATTCTGAATTTCCGCACGTACTATTTTCTTGGTACACACCCAATCTTGATCACTTGGCTTTTCTTTTTCTTTCTTCTCGGAAATCCATTACTAAAAGGGTTTTTTTTTTTTTTTTTAACCTGCCTCCAGGGGGAGGAGGGATGGGGGAAGGGGAAGCTAAAATCACAAGGCCCAGATCAAAACACTCAGCAACTAAATGAATTTGGCAGCGTTTTCCCGCATGACTTGGAGGGATAATTTGGTGAGGCCGCCAGCTGGAAGGAAAGGGATTAATTCTGCACTTAGCACAGCTCTGGTGAATAATTCATCACCAGAGACCCTTGCGCCCAGCCCCTGGTCAATTGGAGAAGTGTCCTGCCCACTTGCCTGTTGCCTGCCTGAGTCTACCAGTCCCCTGACCAGGGGCACTTAACATTCCTTTTAGTGCCCAAGGCACACATGTCCCAGTGAAGGGGGCAGGAGGCAGGGGGAGGTGAGGAAGGCAGTGGCCATTGGCAGAATCTAAACCCTGGGCAGAGATCCGGGAGGGTTGGGCTCTAATCTGGGGCATTTGTGACATTTTTCTCTAAGGACCCTGCTTCCCCTTCCCTGGGGTCTTTCGCATCTTCTGTCTCCTCCTATCTCAGCACCTTTTTGTTCCTGAACCTGGGTTTTTGTTTTTTTTGGTGGGGGATGGGTGGCGAGCAGTGTCAGGGAGTGTCTGACAAACTCTCTCCAATCCAGGATTTCAGAGGGGTCTTGGGAGGGCAATGCCGAACATTCCACAGCAGAGAGTGCTTGCAGGGAGATTTCAGAAACTCACAAGAGGTCTTGTGGGGACATTCTTTGGGGCAGGTACCTTGCTAGACCCTCCTCATCCCTCACACATGGAACTCCCTGTGTTCTTCATGGGTAAGGTCACAGGACCAAGTATTAGCCCAGAGCTGGTGGCTATTTTTCCTGGCATGGGAAGCTGGCAGGAGTGGGCTGACCCAGGTATCAGCCTTTGCAACCATTCCCGGAGTTCATGGTCCTAAATTGTGCCCATGTCCCAGCTTCATGCCTGTCCCTAAGGGTCAGCATCACAGAGAAAAGTGGAAAAATTCCAGCAGGTGCCTGCCAGGTGTTCTGGAGCCAAATGACCATGGTCCAGGCCATACTCATGGAGCCCAGGCATAGTTAGTTAGAGGGATGGAGGCCCATCCACCAGGAAGGGCTCAGTCCCAGGTATCTTTCCACTTGGACCAAACCCACCTGTGGTAGGCAGAAGTCTAAAACTGAAAGATGGCTCCCTAGATGCTGCACCCTAATCCCTGGAATCCATGAATATGATGTCATATCATTGCTATGATTGTTATATTATATGGCACAGTTGATTTTTTTATTGTATTTTAGATGAAGGTTTACA